GCCTAGATGTCATTAATTTACGTTGAAACATATGTTATATAAAATTAACTTCTTATTCAATTAATTTATGCCTCTCAAAATACAACCTTTACTCAGTCTAGTTTGAAATACTAATACTTAGAATGAATATGTTTTATGGTAGGAAACAGTAATTAGTTTATTGATGTCTAAAGATGGAGTTTTGAGTGTTTAATGTTTAAAATTATTTATTTTTTTGAATATCTTTATCTTTATTGTTTTTTTGTTGTTTCCATCTTAACATGTTTTAAGTTATTAAAAGTGAATTTATAACAGTTTGAATTCGGCTCATATACATTTGATTTCTAATTGTATTTGTTCCTTTGCTCTCTGTAATTTCTGTAGAATAAAGCTATTGATTAATAGATTGGTAGAAAGATCTATATAAAATATCATGCATGCTTTCATCCAATTTTTGTATGGCATTAAGGGGAGTGTCGACATTTTTTCCACTAAATGACTGGTATCTGTCTGACTCTCAGCTGGCGGCCTGAACTGGCTGTGCATGCTGAATAATAATTATCTTATTCTTATTATTAATTTTAAGATGATATTAAAGTTGCTACTAAAGTTGTCTGGTATTAAAACCTGGCAGTTTTTTTTTTTTAGTTTAAGATGGATTAATTTTCCCTTCCCAGTCTGTGTTCAGTCTTTGCCTCAAGCAAAGGAGTAAGTAGGTGTCTTGTTTGCAGCAGATGGCATGAAGAAGTGAGAGGTAGACTGACAGACTGGAGAAAAAACAGGTGGTCTGTTGTGTTAAAGAAGAAAGTCAAGCCATGAAGTAAAGATTTAACTTTATTAGTCATTCTTTGTTTCAAATTTCAACTATAAATATGAGATACACCATGGCTCATGACTAAAAGAACGGCCCTGGATATAACTAGTTGAAATTAGCCTCTTATATGGTGGCTATGGAGAAACTTCATTGAGAGTAGAGGCACAGTTCCTCCACATCAAAGGAAGTCAGTTATGCATCATCGATCCTTTTTGACGCTCCCAGGTTGCCTCCTGATCAGATGTTTGTTTACCAGGCATCTCACAATGGGATGACACCCGCAGACAGACTCAAAACATGCACTACCACATATTGCTTTTGGTTCGCAGGGCAATGCTAGGGCAAGACTTCATGGATCAGTGCTTCTATGTGTGTCCGCCTCTGTCTTCTCAAGCCTCCGGTACTGTAAGCAGCAAGAAGGATATTTACACTGAGCCAGCTTCTGCTGGAGAGTTATTCCTGTAAAAAGGGAATGTGCTTCTCCGCTGTTCTCCACATGTGTGCAGGTATGACGGGTCACTGCAAAGCCAACAGCATAGTGAAAGCAACTGTCCACAGACAGTAATTACAGACTTTGCATGTATGATTTCATAGAATTAACTCTGTAAAGTGCCTTCAGATGACATGTGTTTTGAAACGGTGGTATATAAATAAATTCAATTTTTTAGGGTTCCTTCCTTCCTTCCTTCCTTCCTTCCTTCCTTCCTTCCTTCCTTCCTTCCTTCCTTCCTTCCTTCCTTCCTTCCTATTAAATCGATTAAGGAAGGTCTTTCTTTTCTTCCACTTTTTGGCTTGGATGTTAAACAATGTCAAACAACATCAGGCTGGAACCCATTACAACTTGACTGCATCCTAACATTAACCTTTGTAATTATGTAGTGGGAGGAAACATGCTACTAATGAATCAAGCCAGAAGAGGAGATACAGTACATAAAATGTTCAAATAACTACTTTTCACAGCAAATAATGTGGGGAACATGTCAAAATAGTTTAGAATTCTGCCTTGTAGGTGACAAATAAAGTCCATTAGTAAGCTCCCCGACCATTAACATTACCAAAAAGACGTAAAAAGCAATATTGAGCCTGTAACCCAGAAATCTGGAGAAAAAAATAATAAAAGTTATTTATTTTGGTCTAACGTGGGCTTTTTTCCCCCCAATAGTGACATTTAACATCCAACAAGATGATTAAGAAGCAATCATACTCAAGTTTTAGACACATAAACAGATGGTACTCTGTAATATTCATGATTTGAACCTCATTTGTTTATGGTTGTACTTACACCAATAAGGTATTAAGCTAATACCTGAGTTCTTGTATTCCCGTAGCTGTTGGGTGTTTAGATTATTACTGATAAACTGTGCTGCTATATTATCATCCGGTAAATGTTTTAATATCTCATTTCTTCAAGCGAGTGCTCATTGTGCGTGTGTTGATTTTGTGCTCTCTGCTACTCTGGAACAATAAAATGTTTCAGTTGATTTCATGGAGAAAGACTTGCACAACTTTAAATGGTTTCGACTTTGTAAGCTTTACTCTTTAAAGTAGAAATTTCGGTTTACCACATAATAAAACTGAGCTGCAAAGAATCAAAGTCTCTAATGTTGGTCAGACAGATGAAATGGGCCAAAAATCCAGCTATATTTTTAAAATCTTTGAATCTACCTTAGCCCTGTCCATCCAGAGATCACCTTTAAGCTGTAACCATGTAACACAAATAGTTATCATGCAGCAATATCAGGAAGCAACCATGTCCAGACCAACAGTGGGAACACGACGGGTCTGATAAGAGGCGTCTGTGGCAGCTGGCAGGTCACTGAACCAGAGCGTTCAGGCCCTCTGAGCCAGCTGCAGGAGGCCAGCTGTGTAAATGGGATAAAGAGGGGACTCTGTGGGTTTATTGAATTTACTTTGGTCTTGGATTATGTGTGATGAAAGGAATCTGAGGCCAACTCAGTAAGATGGGAAATGCTTAAAGAAAGTTAGTTCAGCTGACTTTTACAGTGGGTTCTATCTTTAGGGACAGACTGTCAGACTGTTTGCACTGGCTTCACACTGCATTACAATGCTGTGCATGATTCTGAGATCATCAAATGTTTAGTTGTATTTCACTTCCAAAAAGTTGATTTGTCATAAACGTTTTAGTGTCTGAATTAACCCTCATCAGTACACCTGGGGTCCCAGCAGCTCTAAGTGATATTATCAAATATGTGCAACATAAACAGCCAACCAGAAATGCCACTTATGATCATAGGCTGTTTGTATGCAGCATTTCTTTGTTTCCTTCTGCAACACTCCCAACTGGAGAATCAGCAAAGGGTGACGTTGTCGACTGAAAATATTGTTGATGACATCCTACAGAAATTTCAGAACCCCAGGCCCTTACAGAAGAATTAAATCTGTCTTTGTTTCTCTCTTTACTGCAATAGGAAAGTATAAGCATTTAACTCTATATTTAGTTTGTCCTAATTGTACCCATATCCCTGATGTTTCAGCAATTATCAGGCTGGTGTTTAGACACTGCAGTGCAAGAGAAAAGAATCAGCTAAAATATTTTGTGAACAGATTAAAAGCATTACTAATTAGAGCAGTACCAGTAAAAAAGAAATAAATCAAAATCAAATTAGAGAGTTTTACACTACTAAATAAATACCCTGCTACTTATTCACTGACTGTTTGGTCTTTTAGCTCCGTTCAGCTGAGGACAACACCATATTTTTCAGTATTAAGCCACCCTGACATGCTCTTTATACAATAAAGCTGACAGTACTGGATAATATGTGAAAATGAGGATTTTCATGGCTGTTTTTCACATTCCTTGGACGCTCTAAACACACACACTACACATTCACTTTACTTCTCACTGGGAAGCACAATAAAAGATGTCCTTAGATTGCTTAGTCTAAGGTTGAAACTGTTTCCATTTGAAGAAGCAGAGAACATGATCAATATGATACCCACGAGGGGACCCAACTGCACTTCTCCAATTTTATGGCTTTCACAGCAGGTTTCTTCTCCTCCCCTCAGGGAAAACAATCACACTTTGCACTTAGCAGAAATTAAATCCCATGTCTATTTTTGTGCCACTTTACAAAGACAAATGGTGTCCTCAAGGAGGGGATGCACTTTTACATTTGAATGTGTGAGTTTTCTACTGAACAAAAAGGTTATCTTCAAAAGCCCTCAAATAAAAATGTATACATTCTTCATATATATTGTTATTGACTATAACTTCTCCCGAAAATTGAGTTTAAAAAACTAGAAAATTTGAGTGCATTAAAGTTTAGTTCTCAACATGAAGATGGCCACAATCCAAGCAGTGATTACACTGCATTTATCTTTATTTCACCCATTTAAGCTTTTCCCTCCACCTGCTGGGAAAATGGTTTCATGGCAGGATTCAATACTGGTCTAATTGAAAATGATCATTCATCAAATCAAACTATTTCATGTAGCAAAAGGTAGCAGAAGTAAAAATGTATTAAATGACACAAAAAAAAAACATAATTAAACCATCATTAAAAGAGGAAATTTGGAAAGTTTGCCATCGTTTAGGAAATGAGGTGTTTCTGTACCAACGGTGAAGCTATGATTATGAACTATTGGTCATGGAACAAATGAAGCCATTAACAACTTTGCTAAAGTTATTTTATTAATAATAATAATAACCAAATAACACACATAAAAGATTAAAAAAAATACAAACAATTACTACATAAAAAAAAGAAATCCTCACATAAACAAAATATTACGAAGTCACAACTTTTTTATCGTTTAGTCCTTTAAGTCTTTTATACAAATGTTTGTCTGCTTTTCTACACCATCTTATACTGTATTTGTTTCAAATTGAGTGTAAACTGGCTTTTTGTTTTGTTAAGTGTTACCTACAAGAAAAGAAAAGTAAGCTTGATCAGATTTGAGCAACGTATGATTTCCTTTTTTTTTTAAATAAATTCTTCCTTAACTATTAAACACATCTTGCTTTTTGTAAACATAAAAACCAAAGACTTGGCAGAAAAACTCAATATTGCCAGTTAACAGCATCACTACTTGATGAATAACCAGCCAATAGACTTTGTGGAGGTGTTACGTGGCATGGCGGATGGAATTAGCTCCTCTTCTCTTCTGAGTGAAATGAACAAAACATGTTTAAATCCACAGTAAGGCCCGCTAAGCTGTAATCCCACAGCCTTGGTGTTGGCCCTGTTTAGCTCCTGTGTAAGCTCTGTCCAACAACACACAGGTCCGGTTGTGATGCAGAGCGTGGTTTTGCTCCGAGGTCTGATTGGCTCCCCCATAATTCCCGGTGCGTGACTGGATCATCATCTAGACTGTTGGAATAAAAAGAAATTGGACTTCAGTAACAAGCGTACTGTGTCAGTTAGAATTAAGTTGGCTGTTATCTGAAATGCTGCTTTAAATTTAGAACAAATCCTGTAATGCTGCACAATTCTGGAGGAAAACAACACTTATCTGAACTCACAGAACAACAACTTACATTTATTTGCTAGCATTAGATGGCTACAAATATTTATATTTTTTTAACCCTAAAATTTAAGGACTTGAAAGGACCTCAGTATCCAAATAAATCATACATTTGATGGTATTTATTAGTTCTAATAGCTATCAATAAATCAGCACACCAACTTTTTTCACAGTCGCTGAAAATTATTTTTGCTCCTTACATTTTTGCTTCTATTGTCAGATTTTAATGTCTTATACAGCATCAGATGAAGATAATCAGAGTGACTCAAAGTCTACATTTCCCCTGGTTCATCCAAGCCTAATTACTGCCTAACCAGCAGAACCTGGACAGCTCTAAAGCGAGGGAAAGAGTTTTCTCAGAAGATTATAAAGAACGTTACAGATAAGCATGTTAAAGATAAGGGCTATTACACCTTCTTCAAGCAGCATGATGTTCCTGTGACTTCAGGTGCACATATTATTGAGAAATTAAAGATCTATGGGACTTCAGTCAAACTCCCCAGCCATGGCAGCGGGAAAAATAAAATAGGACAAAACGATAGATATTATGACTGGTGAAAAAATAGCACAAAAAAACTTCTACAGATATTAACGATGAACTTTGAAGGTAAAGGAATGTCAGAGTTCTAACGATTCATCATTGCTAGAGCCTAATTGACCTTAATGGTAGACAGCACAGGTGAACACCATTGTTAAAAATAAATCGCCAGATTTTAATTAGCCAAACTACTTTTTGACAAGTCACGCAGCTTCTTCAACAATGTTCTATGGACAGGTGTGTCAAAATCTCAACATTTTGCCAAGGTACATTAGCTATATATTCACAGATGGAAAAATTAAGCATATCCAGAAATCACCTCTGTCCCTTCTGTGAAAGGTCAAGGAGGTTTTGTTATGTTTGGGGCTGCTGTGCTTCATCTGTTACAATCTCTGTACGATATGATGAAATCTCAAGACTATCAAGAAACTCTAGAGAGCCTTGTGCTGCCCGGTGTCGGAGAGCTTTGTCTCAGTCACAGGTCCTTCTATGAGCCCTGACATAAATCCTATTGACCATCTTTGGAAGGAGCTTAAACATGCTGTCTGGAAAAGGGACCCTTCATACCTGAGACAACTGGAGCATTTTGCTCATGAGGAGAAGTCAAAAACACCTGCTGAGATATAAACGTCTCATTGACTGTTAAAGGAATCATTTGATTGCAGTGATTTCCTCAAATGTTTGTGCAATAAAATATTACATTAAGGGTACCATTATTTTAGTCCAGGCCTGTTTCATTCATTTATTATTAAAATTATTCAGTTGAAATATGGTTGGAATTAATGTCTGACCTTAATTAGTACATTTTCATTAAAATTTGCATTCATTATTGCTCTTGTCAGATCCAATTTATTTCTGTGACAATCGTTTTACTTTGATTAAATTTCTAACAATTTTGTACACATGTGTATCCTATCATTATAATACCTGAACTTTTACAGATTCTTTTTATTTTAATTAAACTTAACTCTGATGAATGAATTATTGAGTCATAAGGCTCCTAAATTGATGAACCAATGTTATACCTACCAACAGCACACCAAAAAAAAGATATATTTCAATTGTGACCTTCAGACCTATTCCATTGGTGAATTAGTTAAGACTCACAGACAGAAATAGTATAAACTACAAGGTGATTATTAAAACTACTTGCCTTCAATTTTGCCATAAAGATAACATGTATCTTAAGTCAGGTGACTGCTGAACTTTCAAATGCTGTTCATCTGATTTAGGCAAACTTCCAAACCTATATCTATATATTTCCATCACGCTTATCCCAAATGGGGTCACGAGGTGCGCTGGTGCCTATCTCCAGCTGTCTATAGGACGCGGGGTACACCCTGGACAGGTCACCAGTCCATCGCAGGGCAACACAGCGACAAACAACCATTCCTGGAGAATTTAGAGGAGCCAATTAACCTAACAGTCAAAGACCCCGGGCCAGGAATGGAACCCGGAACCTTCTTGCTGCAAGGCAGCAATGCTACCCACTGCACCAATGAGCAGCTTCTAAATGTACTTCTTTATTTGTTCTTGAATTGTCATTCTTTCACTGTTAAAGCAAAAATGTTAGGTAACTCCAAAACGAGTGTTTAATTATTTGAAAGTATTAGAAACAAAATAAACTTTACCCCTTTGAAAAGATTGCTGGTTCGCTTCCACAAGTTTGAGCCACAGAAGTCCCTTGAAATCGTGATGTCATACTTAGACTTGGCCTTCTGTCTGATTGGCTGCGCCGTACAAAGGGCCGGGGTCCTTGCACAGACACAGGGAGCCTTCCTCGGCTTCCCAAACAGCTTGAATGAGGGGATACTCTGTTAATAGTCCATGCTTGAGTTGGTTGGGAAACTGAACACTGCTTTGCTTCAAACATGGATGGTGAGACTGGGCAGAAGACGGAGCGAGCATTATTGAACATCCGTGCACTTGATTCTTCAGTGCTGTTTGACCTTGAACACCTCTGTAACTTTGGGGAGGCTGGTGGAGACGGCGCTTTGAAAGGGTAGGAGGTACTTGGGTTCTGCTTTGCAACAGGTGGACTGTGAAGTCTACGCTGCAGAGCCGGTGATAAAGATGGTGTCTTGTTTACAGGAAGGCTCTCTGTTGAGGAGGTTGTAGCATCCTTTCTTAAACATGGGGGGCTTGGAAGCCTTCTATGCAAGCTGCTAGGGGTAGAGGGAGTGGATGGTAGCATCCGTCCTCTATAGAGAGGTGGAGTGGCAGGTGGTTGGCTATTTGTAACTGAAGAAGGAGGCACTGTAGTGGCACTGATATTAGCTCGAGGCACAAAAATGTTACTATTATGATGTACATTAGAGTTTCCTTGGACTTTGGGGGTTGCTACCAAACCCACTGATGATTTTGCTAAGTCTGAAGATTTCCCAAGGGGTAAGATCTTTTTTGCTTGATGGTGTAAATAATCCGTTTCTGTTTCTTGATATGGGTGAACATTGGACTGACTGACATTTAAAAGGGTAGATTTGCCTGAAGAAACAATCTTCGATTGCTGTGGTAAGCCCCCTTTACTTGGCAATACTGTGCCAGTTTGAACTGAGGCCCTCAGACGTTGAGATACAGCAGCCCTTTTCAGTACAGGTGACTTTCCAACTTTTGAAACTCCATCTTCTTTTGCAGTTGATCCACTTCGGGCACTTTCAAAAGAAGTGTCCATTAACACTTCTGGAGGAGGTGGGGGAAGGTTCTCCAAATCTAAATAATCTATTTTTTCAGATGTTGTGCACTCAGATCTACAACTGGTCATTCCCATACTAAGAACCGCTTCTACATTTCCTAAACCGGGTAAGACAGGAACACCACACCTCTGTACTCCTTTTAAAGGTCCAAGAACTTTAGGACCTTCTCTTATCTCTATACCTTGGCTGAAGGTATCAATCAGTTTTTTGACAGAATTTCTGCCCCTGTGAAAGCCAGAAGATGGTTGTGGTGATGACGAAGGGCTTGGTGGTGGGGTTACTTTTTGAGGACACTCTGGTGTTATTTTTTCTTCCTGTTTATTATCTTCAACATCACAGGGAGGCTTTTCTTTTTTATTGTTGTACCTTGACAGGCTTGTCTTGTCTCTAGGTGGCTCTCTATTACTGTTCTTACCTTGGAGACCCTGTTTTTGAGTTAAACACGGAGACTGTGTTGGTGAATTCTCTTGAGTTTGTTTAAATGTAACCGACTTTGAGTTTCCTCCCACCTTTATTTTACTCATCTTTTGTAACCTCTGATTTAAAGCCTTCTGTGTTCTTTCCAGTTCAAACAGAGTAGGATCTTCCCCTTTACTCCGCAAGGATTCTGCTGACCGGGAACGTTGTCCTCTGATAACTGGGTTCTTTTTTATTTCTGTCCTCCGACCAGCTGCTGCTGTTTGAGGTCTCCTTGGATGTTGCACTTCCTCATCAGTCCAGTCTTTTCTCGTGGTCTTTGGACTGCCGACTGCTTTACCCTTGCTGCAAGGGTTCTTTTGAACATACTGTATCTTACCACTTATTGCATTTTTCATTTTGAGAGTCATTTCTACATTTTGGCGATTTTCTATGCGTTTAGTTGGTAGACGGAGTGGAGAGGTTTCACAACTCACAATTGAAGAATTTGATTGTGTTTTAAATGCCACCTTTCCATTGTCAACACCCTTATCTTGGTGTTCTTCATCATTATCATCATCATCTTCACCGTCATCTAAGGATACTGATCCCAACAGTGAATCTCTTTGGTCATTAGGCATTATAGTACATGTTGAATCAAATGAGTTAAGCGAGGTGAGGGAAACACTAGGACTTATTTGTGTAACATATTTTGCACTGGATGCCCCAGTGATGTTCATAGATTTGTAATCTATCGGACTAACCAGAGTTCTGTTTGTCCCAGTGGACCCACAACTCTCTCGTCTATGACGTTTGTCGCACCCGTTAAGAGATTCATTCTCCGCCCCAATACCACTGTCTTCACTAAACAAAGCTAAATCTTCAGCTCCAGGCTTGCGAAGAGAGGAAATTTCAATTCGGGTTAAGAGTCGCATCAACCTGGCTTCCACTGCACGTTTTATTTTCAGTTTCTCTTCTAAAAGTTTTGACACTGACTTATAGTATTCCACTGCCTCCTCCAAAGCAGAGTCTCCAATTCCAACAACAGTTTGGCTCACACTCCTCATCCTCTGAGTGGTGTATTGAAGCAGCTCTTGCAACAAATCTGGTGGAGATTCAGTGACAGGAGGGCCAGAAGACGAGAGATTTTTCATTTTGCTTGGCCATGCAAGGTGTTCTCCATGTTCTTTCAAAACCCTTTCCCCTTCCTCTGCCATGTCTTCCAGTCCCTGAATTATTTCTTTGTAGCGTAAGGCCATGAAGGCTACCATTTGCTGCACGGAAATCTGAGTCTCGGTTGCTTGCTCCATAAGCCCAAGTACAGAATCATATTTATTTATGCTGGGATTCAAAAAGCTGTATGCAGCTTGATGAGCCTTTACTAAAGGTTCTGGAAAGTCCACTTTTTGATCCGTAGATATCTTGTTGTTGTCTTTCTTTCTGGGACCTTTAATACCCTTAGCTGCTTTCTTTGGTTTTCTGTTAGATCTTTTCTCAACCAACTCAAAGTTTTTCTCCTTTCTTACTGGCAGCAAGACATTTTCCATTGTTGTTCTTGCCTCTTTTTCGATGTTCTTTACCTCTGTAATCACTTCTTCAGGGACATGTTTCTTTTTTTGTGGCGTTGTAGGTGCCTCCTTCTGAGATATCGGTACATATGGAGATTCATTGTTCTCTTTTGCATCCACTTTTGCAGTTTCAATGTTCTCTCCTCCATCTTCATCTATCTTGTTTTCTTGAGGTAGGGATGGTAACATTCTCCCCTTCCTCATGGCTCCCAAAGTGCCCAAATTGGTACCTTTGGAAGGTGAGCAGCCCATCTTTAAATCTCGAAAATACAGAATGACTTATGTCCAATACGGATGAAAACACATCCAAGGTCCTTATCCTCCTGCTGTATCTGTCATTTTCAGATGGCCGAGGCTTCACAAACAACAAAATCCCTTTGGACAAAGCTTCTGCGGAAACAGAAGGCAGATATATCCATTTCAAAAATTGCTTCCACACATCAAAAGAAGGAAAATAAATCCACTGTATGCCCCATCACATTTATTAAAATTTTAGTGTAGACTAATCTGAAATGCATCCCTCTGTACCTTGCCGAGGAGAAGTGGCTGAAAGGATTAGTGGGGCTTTCAGTGAACTCCTCCGCATGACCATATGGCCCGTTAAACCAAATAAAACTCACCTACTGTAAGAACATAAGCTCATTTGTGTAATAGGGGCTGGCCTAAGGTGGCTTTTTATAGCCTGCTAAACAATCGTTTAGTTGCTAGGTCCTTCCTTGAAGCAAAACAAAGGAAAATAGCTCAATAAAATAAAACTGTGAAAGTGATTCATATTCATTGGGCACACACAACACCCCTTAAAGTTGTTATCTACAACTGAGGTCACAGCTTAAACCTTACTTAAATGTTCTTTTTGATATCAGATTCTTAAAAGTAAAACTCAAGAAGATAAATGTCTTAGAGATAAGTTTAAATTGTACAAGCTTCTTCTGCCCGGTATATTTTACAGGTAATATAAATATTTCTTGCAGAATAGGAAACAGATGAGACTTTTTATTTTTTAGTTTATTTTGACTTATTTACATTTCTTTTAGTTTAAACAGCATTGCATTAAACATGTTTCCATTTGTGGCTTGTGTGGGGCTATATTAATTCTTCAAAGAGTCCCAGAGACTCAACAACTTGTGAATATTTCCTTCAAAGCAAAATATAAACAAAAATGTGCATTAACCAAATAATGAATAACAAGGTGACACTTTATCTAAAACAGCAGTACTGTGAGATCTGTGTAGGCAGCATGCCAACAAAGTCAAGCATTTAAACCAGAATATAAGAATTTTTAGACAGCCCCAAAAATATATAGAAATAATTGAGCATTTAAGAATTTTAGGAAAAAAAAGTATTTTTTTAAGCTTTCAGCTGTTATGTTATCAATCTTGTACATAGTATTTCACTTGGTTCATGTATGTCTGAGTAATCCTATGATCTTAGACTTTACTCAGCCGTCCTAGAGAATCTAATCAACATTAGTGGAGTGACACGGCCTCTCCCAGTGTGGGCAGGACCCGCACTGTGAGACGCAGCGTCACAGTGAAACTGTGGAAGAAAACTGATATCTTGAATATTACAGTGCAGAATTAATTGATTTATGTGTAATCTGAAAGTAATTTCTGATTACACATAATCAGAAATTACACAAATAAAAATAAAAAAATGATCTGCATGTCGCTTCAAATATCAAAACCACAAGCTACATCTCAGCCTGTCAACACTATAAATATTTAATTCTCAGTAAGAAAATCACGATGAGTCTCTGAGTTCCTCGTTGAACGGACATAAAATTTTATTTTTACAATCCAATGTGTCTGACCAATGTTATTTTTTTATACACAAAACTACAACAAAAATCTGACTAGATCTGGAAAAAAATTTTGATTTTCTGTAAGGAGACGGAGGACACTCCGCGTTTACCTAACAAGACCTGCTACCGACCAGGTTTGCTCCGAGGAGAATGTTACTATGGTGACTGAAGCAGAGGTTGAGTAAACTGGCTGTTTCTCAATGTGTGTACGTTTTCATGTCCTCATGAAACTTGATCAGCCTCAGCCCTAGTACTGTTCTAATTCACAAGAAAAAGAAGACTGAGAGCAAAGTCCTCGTACGTTGTTCTCACCCCTCCCTCTTTACACATCATGCATTACAACAGACTTGTCAGTTCTTGAGATTGACAGCTGTCCCAGCATGCACTGCGGCAGCAGCAGCTTCCAGTGGAGCGCTCACAGAGCTCAGAGTATTAAGTTAAAAGTTCTGTTGCTGTTCAATAAAAGTACATTTTAGGCGAGAACATTACACTTTTAAGTATCACTATATGGCCCATTTACTGATTTAATGTGTAATTTTTTTTTTTTTTTTTGTTGATTGCAGCAACCAGCGTACTTCCGAGGGTAATGGCAGCCAGGTCTAATTTTAGCCCATTCCAGCAGCCCTCTCTCGGCATAGCAATGTGTGAAGGACTGCTGGCTCTGATGGACTTTGGGAAAATGTTCCATTTGATTTGTGTTTCTCTGACTGGGTTCATTATTGTTCCCCCAATAAATGAAGAAGTTATCTAGAGACTATTAACAGGAGGTAAAATGCAGCTCCAGACGAGCTGAGCGTGTGGTGATGTAACAAGTATTGTTCTGTTGCAGTTGACCCATATTTCTGCAACATGTTCCCAGAGTCCATATTTTCATGCATTCTTCTCAAGAACATACTTTGCGAGGACACAAGTCCGTACTTGCATTCTTGTGAATTGAGAAACCCATTCTTTGTGAAATGGAGCCCTGGACAGGCCAGTCTGTTGAAGGGCAACACAGAAACAGACATTTGACCATGCTCACACATGTACTTAAGGACAGTTTAAAGATCCCAAAACTGGAAACAAAGGGCAGTCTCAAAAAGATTGTAAGTAATACTTATTCTTTTCAACAGGAATAACATACTCCAAGCAGCCCACTTGTTTCTCCGGGTTTTTCAGCATAAAGTTTGTTTATCATGAGGTAGGTGCTCTTGTAAATGAAGTCGTATGGAAGACAGAATTAAAGACAAGTTTTTTACTTTTCCATTTTATTCAGAACTTTCCACATATATAATCTAAAGAAAAAGTTGCTGAACAGACCAGTGAAAATGCCCCCAGAAAGACAGGAAAAATTAGATGACATCTTTGGTTCCAGCTGTAGTAGGGAGGAAAGATAGAAATTCGGTCAGGCCTACTAGCAGTACACCACTCCTCAATTCCTCCGCAAGTGGCATCCACAAAATGTCCTCATGTTCCTAAAGAAAATTCTAATTGATCCTGACCAGTGGCTTCCAGAAATTAATAGCCACCTTCGGTGACATCCTGTTGCTGTGTTTCAGGTTCAGGAGTAGGACTCAAGTAATCATCTTTAAAGTACTGACCATTGAAGAGGTCTCTTCCTCTGTGATTGCCTCCGTTTGACTGCATGAGAGATGACTGGTACACAAGAGGCTTTTCAGTCAGTCCAGATGGCACTTTACCAGGTCTCCAGGCCTGAGCACGTGGCATTTCACGAAGTTTCACCATGATGTTCCCAATAAGAACAATTTCAGGTTCCAACACTGAAGGCTGCCATGGAAAGTATCCATAGGCAGGTGGAAAGCTCACCCCATGTGGAGGAGCTACATTACGTTCATATGCTTGGCCAGAGGGTTCACCTGTGCCATAAGCATAACTGTACAGAGGAGAGCCAAAAGTTCCATGTGTGTAGCCATAGGGAGGAACTGCTGCATGGACACCATTGTAGCTGTAATAAGGAAACCTCATGGAGCCATCTCCATAAGTGTACAGATGAGAGTCAGAACCAGTATAAACAGGCTCATGCACTAAAGGAGGTCCAAACCAGGGACTGGGTGAACGATAAAAGTCTTCAGGACCGGAAACCGCTTGCGGCTGTGATGAGAAGCCATGTGACATCTCCACTGGCTGCGAGATAGGGCCAACATAGAAATCTCTTGGTAACAGAATATCTGGGCCACTGGTAGAGTTGGAATCAGAAGACTTTTCAGGAGCTTTAATGCTGGAGGCAGACTCATTTCCAGCAGAAGAGGTTGTAAACAAAGTTTCTGGATTTGCTGATAGTTCAGAACTCAAAGTTGTGTCATTGCCATGGTCTGGGAACAAAAAAAGAAACTGGTCACAAGAAGTCTCAAGGTGTAAACATGCAGACATAAGCATTGTGATGATATATCCCCAGATGGCCAACATCTGAAATTAGTTAAGTCTAGACAAACCTTGGTTCCTTTACTAGAGGGTATCATTGTGGCAACAGCGAACATTCAGACTAAATTCTTTGGGCCAGATTAGTGTTACCTTCATACAATAAGTAAATATACTGTTGAATAGAACAAAAACAAAAAAAAGACTTCAAGAAAACTGACAGGAAATCAAACCAAAAGCACTAATCTGTTGCATCTCTTGTCACCAAACTAAATAGGATATATGACTAAATAAGTAATAAAGATAAAATGTAATGTTTCAAAAAATAATTTACCTGTAGGAAAACAATTCCCTGGGCCAAAAAGCAGGCAGATCAACCACACCCTGTAAAACAGATGACAGTTAGAACCAACATTGAGAGTCGATTACTTTAAAGATTCAGTCATTATGCCAAAAAGCTTCAGTAACAAACCTTAAGCAGACACCCAGAAGCATGTTCGCTACAGCAATTCAGCCACAGTGGCTGACATTCAGAGAGAGGAGGTCGGTCTTAAGCAGAAGCTCTGCCACTCATTGTACTTATTGGAGACACCTGCAGCTCACTGAGCATTTTCTTCTTCTGTGATTTTTTTTTTATTGGGTTTTTGGCAAACATCTTTAAAGTTGCAATACCACCCATTTCTGGAAAGGAGTGTGAACTGAATCTCAAAAAATAACAATGATATAATGAAGTTTAAATCTGACCTTATAGCATTTACTCTTAGAATCTTTCTGTAACAACTGAATGAGATCTAGTTTTTCTTTTATGTTGTTAAGAATTGAATCAACTCTTTCCTCTCACCGTCATAGAACACAGTATGAATGCATGCTCTATGCTGGTGAAGATTCTCAGTCATCCAGGTCATAGTCATTCCATAAAAACGTTTTAAAAAACAATCTACCTGACTTTGTTTCCAAGTTTGAAGACGCTTCGCTCCCCATCCAGGAAGCTTTTTTAAATTCAAAATGTCAGGACTAGCATTTAGTTCGAGGTTCTATACAGTAGCCTATCAAAACTTTGATTTTTAAATATTTTTCATTACTTTACTTCAGT